TGTGAAATATCATAGCATCATTTTTTTCTCTGACTAACAAAAACTATTTTACCATTGAAATGCTCAAAATAAGTTGTTAAAATGATGAGGAAGCAAATATATTCATTTGGAAGACAGCAACATGAAAACACATTTTAAAGATATTCTAAAACTAAAAAGGAACCATCACTTAACAAATGCATCAAGTCAGAAGGACATATGACATGACCACCAAGAAGAACTTCAAGAATCCACAGACATGACAGTGTGTTAGACAATTATTAAATAATTCTCAGTTTAGGCAAAATGAATCTACATTTCTTGGCCAGGTGTTTACAAGTCCTTACTTATCTAGTTCACTGTATGCTATTTTGCCACTAGTTAGCCTTAGTGACAAGGATATTGAAAGCTCCCTTCAAGTTTAATCCTTTCCTAGGGACTTACTTTGTATGAACTTTATTTTAGAGATGTGGTACTCCTTCTATAGATACCATTACATGCCAGGAATCTTGTCTGTTATTCACATACAGCCAAACCTTTCTCAGAGGCCTTCCCTGACAATTTTAAGTACTCATTGTATTACTCTGTCTAAGAGTAAAATGTGACTTCTGATGGGCAACTAAGAGGTAAATAGTGCTAGTTCTACAACAGTTAGGGCTACACAATGAAGCCCATCCATCCAACCAACCAATCAACCAACCAACCAACCAACCAACCAACCACCCAAACAACCAACCAAACCACCCACCCAAACAAACAAACAAACAAAAAGACCAGTGTCAATAGCCTGTAATGTTTGGGGGTTTCTGGGGAACCCAAATTGAGGGGAGGTATCCCATACTTGGAACTTGGCTTCTGGGAGGAGCATTATCCCTGTAGGATAACTCACATGAAATTTTTTCATATGATATATAAAGCTCACAAAACAGCACGTTTCCATATGATGTTTTCTCTTCTACATACCAGGTCACCCAGCGCTTCTATTCTCCCCTTTCATACCTCCCACATCCTGCTATACCCTCTCCATTGAGATTGCTTCCCACTAATGGCTCTAGTTTCCTAATTCTACAGGTTAGAAATGTGTTTCTTCCAAGTTAGAAATGCAATGGCAGCATATGAATGAGAACATAAGACCATTATTTTTCTAGGGCTAGCGTACATCATGTAATATAAATGTTTTCAGTGTAGAGAGGTGCACAAGACCAAGCCTGTCAACACCAGAGCACTGACAAGGGTCGGGAGACCAACCTTAATTAAGGCAGCTATCTTATAAAGGAGCGAGGACCCCCTTCCTTTAAGGGTGTGGACCTCAGTATGTCCTTAAAATTGTAGTGGATGGCCTCAGATCCACAAGTTTATGAGCAACACAAATTGGACCCAAAGTATTATTTTTTAAAAAAAGGAGAGGGGGACACAAAGTCAGGAGTGGTTGGAGAGGAGGAGTAGTGAGAGACAGGAAGGGTTGAGTATGATCAAAACACATTGCATGAAATTCTCAATTAATAAAAATGCTATATTTAAATGAGAATTTTGTGAAAGAAATCAATTTACTGCTCAATATTCTTTCCCCAGATACTAAATTTTCAATGAATATTTTTGTATAAATAAGCTCATGTTAGGTACATGGTCTACAGTACTTTATGTTTGGTAGTCAACATAGGAGTCAGGTGTGGTAAGACATCACTTTACCCCAGCACTCAGTATCAAGAGGCAGATAGATGTCTCACTATGGGTTCAAGGCTACCCACCTTGTCTACATAGTGAGTTTCAATCAATGCAGAGGTATATAATGACACCCTATCTCAACAAAACAAATAAAATGAACAAAAAAGAAAAAAAAATATGTTCCTATGGTCCTGATTAACTTCTTAAATATTGCTTTAATTTGCTATCATGTCAACATATCTGATTATCTAGTAACATAATGAGACAAGTAATAAATTCATTAAAACACTAAGCCATTTAATAAAATACAGTAAGTGCTAAACGCTTAAAGATATTGGTAAAATAGTGATCTTGATCAAAATCATTAATAGTCTAATAAAATTTTCAGTATAGAAAAACTACCTCTAAAAAGTCACCAGGTGGTGCTACACTCCTTTAATCCCAACAGTCAGGAGGCAGAGGCAGGCAGATGTCTGTGAGTTCCAGACCAGCCCAGTCTACAAAAGAAGTTTCCAGAACTGTCAGGGCTATGGAGAAAAACCCTGTCTTGAAAGAGAATAAATAAATAAATAAATAAATAAATAAATAAATAAATAAATAAATAAATAACAGGAAAGAAAAGGGAAGAAAGAAATCTTTTTTTCACCATGAACAAGTCTAAGGTGTTAAAAACTTGGGGAACAATTGGTAATCCTAATTACACTACTAAATAGGTAAAATTCCCCTGTATCTTGAGATCATCAGCCTCAGTTTAAAAAAAAAAAATTATTTTCATTTGATTTATCATTTAAAGTCAGATGGTAAGAACAAGTAATTATGAAAACAGAAACAATACATGCATTATTTTCAGTGGAATTATGTGTATCTGGTCAATTATTATTCTTTGAGCAAAGACTCTGGAATTTAAGGTGGTAATTTAAACATATGACACAACATGCTAAGACACAAAGAATATATATTTCTATACTGTTTGTTATTTAGGAAAAAAATAGGCTAAAAGAGTAATTAACATGGAAAATATGCCCTAAGAGGTCACACAGATGTAGGGACAGTTCTTTTTCTTCCCCAATAAAAATAAAATATGTAGCTTTCTTTCTCTAACCCATTCGCTTGCCTAATTTAAAAAAAACTCCCAAAATCATTTAATAGTACTGTTTCTTTATAAATGGTAGAATTCAGATTTGATAAAATAGAAGAATGCTTTACCAATGTAATCTCTAACATGGTAGTTTTTAATTACAGAAGACACCAGGCAGGAAAATTACTCCCCCAAATCTGGTGTTTATCTGTTTATGCAAGGAGTCATTGTCTAGCCACAAATTCCCTACAGTCTATTGCATAAATGTACAAAAAGCTTCAAAATACTTCAGAAATTCCAATGCAAGACACAAATTAAACTAAACTGCAAAGGTGGTTATTCTTCAAGTAAATATGACAAACTGAAGAAAATGTAATACATAATTTTTTTGTGTGTGCAAAATGACAACTTAAGAAGATCAAATAGGTACTTGATATACAATGTTTACATATACAACACACAAAACTCACTATGGTTAGTAACCTTTATGGCTTAGAAAAACAGATATTTACATATCTTTCTTTCCTCTGTGCCTTCATGTATGTGTGTTTTGTATATATTTTTAACAGTTGACAGCTGTTTTAGAGCATACAGAGATGCCAAGCTGAATGAGGGTCTTGATTACTTCAAGATTAGCTATCTAAAGTTTCTATTCATTTTAAGTGTTGTTAGTTGGAAGAGTCATTAGTCACTTCCTTGTCTCATAGAACATCAGCATACATTTACATTGTTAATGAACATTTGGGGTAAATGAATTAATGGCACTTTAAAACATCAATTCAATCCTAATAACTTGGTATGTCACAGAAATGTTAGGCTAGGATATAAATGAAAATCCCTTTCAGTAAAGGTAACTACTCATTCCTTTAGACAATAAAAGATAAAATTAATTTAAAATGTTTTTAACCAGGTTTAAAAAATATTCAATATTTAATGAAATAGCCCCGAGAAAAATATTCACTTAAAACACAACAGAAAATGATCTTCTCAAATAAGCATGTAAATAAGGAATATTCTGAAAAGTATTGGCAATATTTTGTATTTTTCTTATACAAACACATATTCACTTTTAAACATTTATAGAATTATGAGTACTTCGTACAGGTATTAAATTTACGAGAAACATAACTAGAAAAGCTTTCAGGCTTTCTAAAAACTGCAATAATCAAAATTACAATTAATTTTCATATTACCAAAATCTAAACAGCAGTCTTTTTAGGCCCTTATGTAACAAACAAAAAATAAAATCACAAAACAATTTTGAAAGGTGAAAGGTGCTATTTTCCACAAAAACTTCAATGGCATTTACAGGGTATAAAAGGCATTAAAGAGTCACACAAACACACACACAAACACACAAATAATAAATAAATGAATGGATGAATAAACAAACGCACATGATATAGAGCTTTTGTTCTACAGAAATAACCATGTTTTTAAAGAGTCAGTTATTTTTTTTTTTTTTTTTTGTTTTAATTACCAAAATGTCACTGCAGATCTAAACATCTGCATTTAGGTAAAAATGGCTTTATTTGAATTATTTTAACAAAATTACTTGATAAATGCATTTCATGAGTGAAAAACTACAATTAGTGACTTGAAAAAGGAATTTTACCGAGTGGTCAATAAACTACTCAAGAATGAGGACAAGGTTTCAAGAGTTTTCATAAACTCATGTCTATCAGAAGTTATACTATTAAGTAAATATGGAAAAATAATATAATATCTAGTTCTGACACATTTTAGAATATCAAGAATGCATATCTCTAAATAATCCACAACTTAATGATTTTATTGCACATATCTGTAAGAGTATGGCACAAATTTCAGTTATTTACAAAAAAAGAAACAAAATTGAAACACTACTAAAAAGTTCATCCTGGGATTTAGTTCACTTTAATGTGTGTGTGTGGAGGGGACAAAGGGTAGATTAACTGAAAGGTCAATACCAACAGTTTTCATTCTTCAACACGTTTGGCAAACAGCATTTTGAATTCCAACACTGACTTTATCTACTAAAAGTATTGTCTAGAATATAACTTTTCTTTAAGAAACACACTGTATTGAACATTTGGCTAATGAGTCTTCTACCTTCAATAACAAAGGACACTTTCTCTGGTATTCACTAGCATCAAGAATATTCTGTACATATCTAGCATAATATTCGTGAAGTTGTTCTGATTAGCTTCATGGAAAGACTTACCCCTATAGTGTGGACAGAACATACTGAAGCCCCTCCTCCCAGCATATGCAAAGAGCACCTGCACACAAAACTTACCTCCAGGCTTATTTGAATAGCTGGACAAGGGGTCAATGCCTACTTCTTGTTCTTCTGACTGAAGAGGATGTCTAGTTTCAGACACGGACTGATACATTGCATAAAATACAGGCAGTCACCAAAAGTAATTACCTAGATGAGAATCCAAAAGAAAAAAAGATGAATATTTCTTCTGATATAACTGGGAAGGAATACTAGATAGAATGAAATGATTAAATGAGCACTATAGACACCAACAAGCTTTCTATAGGATATAAGGTCTGTTACTTACTACACCTTGGAGGACTTGTAAAAAACAGCAAACAACATGACAAAAAAATTCCATGCCAACAATGATTCAAAAATTCTAGACTGCACTTATTAACTTATTTTGTGGAATCACATTTGTTTTTGGTAAAATTTCATTTTGTAAAATCTCATAAGATCATTTGTTGAACACTTTGGATAAGGCAATATGCTTAAATAAGGACATTCAACATGGAAACAATACAGCCAATAAACATTACTCATAATAATAGTTAGAGAGACCTTGGTAATATTCTATTGTATTAAACTTAGGCTTGTTTTTACTACAGACATTTAGAGTACACGTTATATGATCTACCAAGGAAAACATACTATTTATATAGAACTATTACTAAATTTCAGGAATTATTAAATTATCATGAGTGTTGTCCTTGTGTCTAAATTGCAATTTCTAATGGATGTCTAGCACTACATTATGTACCACAATTTATGTAAGCAATTCATCAATTTATGTAATACTTTATAAATTTCAATTTAAAATTATTTAAGTATCACATTTTATTAATTTCAAGGGTAGTAGGGACACAAAATGAAACTGAGAAAAAAATTATGAGTATGCAAGTCCAATGAAAATGATATCTTTCAAATACGAAAATGGTTAAATTTATCAGTTTTAGTGTTTAAATATTGAGCAGGTTTCAGAGGCTCAACTACACAGATCCTTAGTAACATTTCTGCAATTCAAAATGTCCCTCTATCCTATCTAAAACACTTATCTTGTAAAATACTCCTGTGGCTCTTCTAATTTTATCAGAACAATTCAGCTCCACTGTTGACCCACAATCACAGCCCATTGTAAATAAGTTCTACTCCCTTAGGATTATGGCTAAACCAAAACTAATAGAATGTTAAGTTAAACAGAAAATGTGTTGTGAAAGTAATGGCTGGTTTTGTTAGCCTGATACACCTAGAGTCACCTGCAAAGAGGGTCATCAATAGAGGAAATGTCTCCAACGGGATGACATGTGAACACATCTGAGGTAATTATTTTCATTAATGATTGGTGAGAAAAGTCTCACATATTTATGGAAGGTGCCAACCCTTGCAGATGGTTCTAGGGTAGAAAAGAAGCAAGCTGAGCAAGCCATGGAGAGCAAGTAAGTAATCACTGTTCTTCCATACTCTCTGCTACAGTTCCTAGCTTCAGACTGCTGTGTGAGCTCTTACACTCTGTACTTCCTTGATGATGAACTATAACTAGTGTGATGTTATAAAACTCTTCCATCCCCAAGTTGTTTTTGGTCATACTTTATCACAATGACAGAAAAGCAAACTAGGCAGTGAACATGAAAGGTGAATTCCTAAAACCATACAATCCAACCTCATCTGTCTAAGGTAGCTGTCAGAGTTTACTGATTAGAATGAAGTTTGGAGAATAGAATAAAATAGGGATAAAAATGCAGGTTATGTTACAAATGAGACAGAAGCCAGTGGATGAATTCAGTTTAACAAATGAAGATGAAGTTGTCTACTGTTCACCAAATAGAACCCCAAATTCAAATTTGTAATGAAGCAAGATAACAGGTGTTATTAGTGACCGTTAATATATTTTAAAAAATAAATATATATGGAAATATTCATTCTCCCTACCACCTAATTATGTATCTTCTTCTTTACTGACATTTTGCCCAAAAGAATCCTAATTAAATTTGCACAGCCACACACTAAGTATTAATTAATTCATCTATTAGATAATTTTTGTATATATTTTTGCTTTCTCTACATGAATGGCTGATGCCCACAGAGGCTAGAAAAGGGTATTGGATCCCTTGGCACTGAAGTTAAAGAAGTTTTTGAGCCCCCATGTGGGTGCTGGGAATGGAACCACACCTCTGTGGAAGAGCAGTAAGTGATCTTAGCTGCTGCGCCTGCTCTCCAGCCTTACATAGTATTAAAGCCAGAACTTGAATATACTGTTTTTTTTTTTTTTTTTCTTTCAAAGCTTACTTTGTTTTTCCAGCATTACCTGGGTCTCTCAAGAGAAAGTCAATAAAACAAACCAATTACAAAACGATGAGAGGAGGGGCCAATGAATAACTAAAGCATTATTTACTCTGGTTATGTTCTGTCAAGACAGACAACAGTTATCCAGGATGGTGTGAAACCTTCTTACTTGCACATACTTGCAAATAATGCAAAATTTTAAATAATTACTGCCATGGAATAGATTATTTAAATAGATTTCAAATTTATATTTAGAACATGGGATTTCTAAAATAAGATTCATAGTCTCTGTTTTTATATTCTTTAAAAAAAAAAGATAGAAAAAAAATGTGACTATGTAGATCTATTCTGAGCTGTTAAATGTCCTTGAGATTTAAGTAGTGTGTCTAACCAGGGTTTTCATAGTCATAATACTTTAATTTCTTATTTTTAAAATAGTAGAACTCTATCTTACATTCTTTAAAGATTCAAATGAACAAATTTGGGGGATATTAAACTTTCTGAAAAACAGGTAACAATTAAACTGAGATCAGATTCTACTTTAGAAGGTAAAGATAGGTCATAGCTCAGTTGGCAGAGGGCTTGATTAAAAGGTATGATTCCCTGAGTTTGATCCCCAACACTAAATACATTCAATGTGGTGGTTCATTCGTAGACTACAATACATTCATTCTCAAAAACAGGGGCCAGGAAGAGTCAACCAGGATCCATAACGCCATGTACCTGCTGTCCCAAATACTGAGTGGGAAGGCTGGAGACAAACCTTGAAAATGCAGAAAGACAGATGGTGTTCATACCTGTCCAAGATGCTAAAAGGCATTTAAGAATTTTTCCATTCCTTAGGGAATGTTAACATTCCTCTGAAAATTATTTGATAAAATTAGCCTCAACCTATGAGTTCCTACTCCCATGGGGGTGACACATCAGATACCCTATGTATCAGATATTTGCGTTATAATTCATGACAGTACCAAAATTACAGTTACAAAGTAGCAATGAAATAATTTTATGGCTTGGGGGGTCACTACAACATAAGGAACATTATTAAAGAGTTGTTTCATTAGGAAGGTTGAGAACCACTGCTAGAGCTTGACAAGTCTATGGCAATAGCCAAAAGCCAGATTGAGAAAATAAACTATTCATAAACATAGTTATCTACAATGATTCTTTACAATGAGGAATGCACTATATCATAATTTATGATGGCTATAGATCAAAACTGAGACGCTGAAAAGGATTTATAATTAAACAAAGTAAACCTGCAGACTAATAATAAGTTACTTTCAAGTCATCTACTGATAAAGAGTATGGATGATGCTCTTCATTTCATTTTAATTACAGATTTAAATACTAATCTAATTTAAAAGTAACTAAAGATGCTGCCGTGGTTTCTACTGCTTTGCTTTAAATATAAAGGGCTATTGCAGTTTTTAAAATTAAAAAGGTAAGCCTGACTATTATTGCTATTGGGATAACTGTAAAAATTGAAATAAAATGTTGCTTTTAAACATAAAATCAATTTACATGGAATTCCCAATTTGTGGTTCATGAATGTACCTGAAAAAGTTTATTACAAAGCAGAATATTAAAGATCTTCAAACAAATGTGTCTATATTCATCTAAATCATTGTTGTGAATGAAGTATTTACCAATAACATCAGATTATTAAAAAAAAAACCACTCATCTTATTCATCTAATGGATTTTTTTTAAAAAAGTCACAGTAATTTTTAATTACTAAAATTCTTGTACCAATTCTGACATGAACGTTACACTGTTACAGTCTAATCATCGGGCTTATTGGGGGAAGAGAATATATAGCTGAAAACAATGCCTCTTAGAAAACAAAAATGTAAGTCAGCATGGGATAGACTTTAGTTCCCTTAAATGATGCTAATCAAGCTCTACATTCTAATAAAAATATCCGTGTTTTTAAATAAGTCAAAGCAATCACGCTTTTGGAACTTTTAGAAACATAGCAACATACATTCTTATATCTCAGAAAAGATACACATTTCCTTAGTTATTCTTATTAGCTTATAATTTTTTATGCCATGAAAACACAAAATTAAAAACTTTGAGACTGGTTTTACTGTAATACTTTGAAGCTACCCTAGTGAAATAAGCATACAAATTAGGCTGTAATTATAATTCATAATCTAAAATTAACCTGAAAGGCAGGTATACAGTTTTCAGAAGTCTGATTCTTACACTGTTCAATCTAATATAAAAGTACCTATCTAAAAAGTTTTATATAGTAATACAAAACTTATAACACAATGAGTATTTCAAAGGGTCTGACGGTTGGGATTTAAAGTATATTAAACACGTTTTAATTTTTGTGTAAAGAAAGTACTCTTAATTAAAGTTGCAATTGCAGGCAATGCATGGGCAGAACATGTTGAATAGCATGTGCTCTTTTAAAAAAGCATCATACAAACAGAAGTTTGAATAAACTATTCTCATCGATCGTGAAATTTCACTTGCTTGAACTTGTGCTCATTCCTCACTGCTTATAATACATAGAATTAGCATTGTGAATTTTTTAATTAAAAAACACACATTTTTAAAGTGGAAATAAGCGTTATTCATTCATTTGAATTCCTTACTGATGGCAAACTAAAAAATAATTAATCCAAGCATTGAGTGGTATTCCTTGACAAGAAAAAAAACTAAAAACAAAACAAAAACAAACAAACAAACAAACAAAAGAAGTAAAAAAGAAAAAACAACTAGACCAGATTCAACAGACTACTTAGGAACTCTATAACTAACAAGAAGAAGACAGAAAAACTGGTAAAATACATTCACTATGATGTGCGTTTAACCTAAACTATAACATACTGGCTTTAATAGAATGCTTCTTTTACACAGCTTA